TACATGTTTGTTAAACATAATTTGTGTTTGTGTTTAAACACAATATTTAAAAAAAAATATATAATTTTGTCCTAGGTAATACTTATTATACATACACACACTTGTACATCTAAACATAGTATATTTACATTTACATCTATGCATATTTGTTCGCTTGTGAACTACTCCAGGGGCCACCATATGCGCCCTATAAACTTATGCCTACATACATACATATACATACATATATAGGGTCATATGAACAGTATCTGCGGATTTTTGATACTATATCGTGTTGATACCCATACATCTGACAACACTAATCCAATTGCGTCAATCTGAGGTGCGTTTGAAAAGTGACATTTCTGGCTACATTTTTAGTGAATATAAATTTGTAATTTGTCGAACACCCAAAAAGTTATATTTATTTGAAAATGGAGTGGTTTTCCTGATTCAAACATGCTCTTCGCTCCAGTCGGCCAGTCACTGGAAAACTCGATGAAATAATGTAAATGGTTGTGCAAGACCAACATGTAAGCTGACAGGATATAGCGGGGCCCCACATAATCAAATCAGCTCTATGTTTGGGTGACATATAAATTAACGCAAAAGAAAATTTATTGACCGAGCTACAACCAGTAAAACACTGTTGAAACGCAAGGAAATCAAACCATTTTTAAAGCGAATCATTACGGGCGATGAAAAATGGAGTGACTACGAGCATAAGGAACGCAAGCGATCACGACTTCAAAGCCTTTATTGACGATAAAGAAGGCGTTAAGTGTTTGGTGGTATTGGAAGGAAATTGTCCATTAAAAACTGCTAAAATGACATGAAACGATCAATGCGGTCTTGCGCTGTGCAGAAGTCGACCACATAAAGAATTCGCCAATAGAAAAGGAGTTCGTTTCAGCATGACACCTCATTGTAAAAAATTTACCTAACGAAGAGCCGCTAGAAATCACTTTGCCAAGTTTTTCGACGATAAACCACACAGAAGTTCTACAACGATGAAATTATGAAGCTACCCGAAAAATGGCATACGGTTTTAGCTAATAATGACCAAACCGCGGAGAATTTTCATATAACCCAACACATACATGTCGAAGATCCTCTGCAATAAAGGCACACTACAAAATTCAATAAATAAAAACTGTTAATTACTGTTAAGTGGCTCTGGTCTCTAATCCTTGTCTAATCCATTTCCAATCCTTACTTAAGTAAGCAGGAAGGATTACTAAAGTAAGTACTAAGGATTAGACATGGATTCGATAAGGGTAAGAGACATGAGCCACTTAACCGTATTTGGCAAGAGTTTCTATTTTTAGAATTTTGATTTGTGTCGTTATTGCACAGGACCATCGGATATGTACATAATAAAACCCAAAC